AAATAAATAAAAATAAAAATATATATTTAAAGTTTTATATAAATTAAAAAATTATTTATTAAATTATATTAAAAAATATTAGTTTAAAGATTTTTGTAACACATTATATATATAGTATATATACTGTATATATTATTTATATTTCTTATTATATATTAATTAATTAATTTAATTTTTAATTAATTATTAGTAAGAAATTTTAATATAATAAAAAGTTTAAATTAAATTAAATTAAGTAAAGTTTTAAACTTCAAAAAAAAATTATTTTTAATGGATTTTTTTTTAATAAAATATTTTTTACTTTTGATTTTATTATTATTATTATTTTTTAAAATATTAAGTAGGGTTTTGATTAATACTATTTAATATGATATTTTGTAAAATTGATATCGAAAATTTCTTTCGATATCAGTATCAATAATTACTGAAAATTTTTGATATGATACTTTAAAGTACCAATATTGAACCAAAGTATCAAAAGTATTAATACTAATTAAAGTATTATATAAAGTTTTTTTTTTTTTTTAATAGTGAATAGAGCAAAAGATACAAAACTTTTATTAATTATATATTGTTAGGGGAAAAAATGATCGATGATATGCTTTAAGAATTGCGTAATGAAGATCGCTTATTACAGAGGTAGCCTAATCGGGTAATTGACCCTCAACCTCGCTTGTTCGGCTCGATCGGTTATTTCAGTTGTTTCTGTTTGTTCTATGTGATCGGTTATATCTGTTATTTCTTTTATATCTATTATTTCTATTATTTCTGTTATTTTTATTATTTCGATTATTTCATTTTGCAGCTAGAAAAAGTATATAAATGATATAATAATTGAGTAGTGAGGAGAGACAAATGACTATTAGAGAAAGTTAATAAAAAGCTGTTCACTGATAAAAATCACAATACTTATCGCACTGTTCCCAACAAATTATATCCTCCCAAATTATTGAAACTCATCAAATCCATGCCTTTTTTCTGCCTATCACCTCCTGTAAAACCTGTGACCCCTGTACAAGAGTGTCACGAAGTCAAGGTTTTTGCGACGTGTTACTTTAAATCTTGACTCGTGACAGATTTGATGGTGAACCATAAGATACAACATTTGTTTTTTCCCTTGTGATTTTTGTCACCGAACGAAGTTTCAAGAAAAAAGAGAAGAGAAGTATAAGTAATTGAGAAGAAAGTAAACAAGATAGATATAGAACAATTGGAACAGCTCCTGATGAACCTTATCCAGTTATTTGAAACCGCAACCACCAATTTCCTCAATGGAAACCAAGATAGAATGCTGGAGACCAACCATGTGCCAGTCAAATACTTTGCCGGAAGAGAAGACGAAGACCCTGTAGAATGGCTGGAGGAATTTGAGCAAGCCACAACAGCTAACAATTGGACAAATGGACGAAAACTTCGAATTGCTCCTGGGTATTTAACCAACCTAGCCGCCGATTGGTATTACGAGAGTAGAGAAGATATCAAACAGTGGCATAACGATAATAATGTGTAGCATAGTTTTTATCATGCAATGATCAGTTTTTTTTCCACACCTGAAAAAAGACATCATTGGCAACAAGAACTATATGAATTAGTCCAACAAGACGATAAGTGAGTGGATATCTATGCTACCAAATTTAAACGACTCCTGTCTCGAGTAGATCCGAAAGAAAGAATTCCTGGGGACTATATAGTAAGTATGTTATGAAAGGTCTCAAAAGTAATACTGCCACCTTTGTTGCAGTTACCACTCTGACCACACTAACGGAAGCCATCATAGCTGCCCGAAGAGTCAAAGCAGAAAATTATTACAGACAATAGAAGTACAAGGCAACGGAAAGCTATACAAACCAGATATGAGAAGAAATGAAAGGTTTGACGAAGCAAGTATGAGAAATGTCTTTGAGTTATGCTGCATTAGTCACCCAAAACATCATCAGGAGAAATACGCACTCAGATTCAAGAAATGCACCAAGAACAAGAGGATGCTATCGCTGTGGTAGAGAAGGACATTATCTCCAGGAATGCCTCGAAAATGTACCACCAGTATCAGTAGCACCTATGGCCAAAAATCCTGTATCAAATGTTTATTATTGTAAATGGCAATCGGAAGAGAAGAACGGTATGGATGCTTACATTGCAGGAGGCACTACACCTGCAAAAAGAGGAAGACCCAAGTACAAACCTGAAAGTAGTTCGGGTGAATCGAGTCATGTACTTAAAATCAGAAGGGCTGTTAATCTGATCGAACCGATGGAAATAAGTATCCAACTCATGGAAAAGGAGGTGCTAGCAAAGAAAGTAAGAAGGAAGAGGGAACCATTGGTAATTGATTCACTCGACCCATATTATGTAGCAAATGACATTTTAGCTTTACCTGCTACTGTGACAATAGAACAGATGTTGCAATACCCGAACCAGCGAAGAAACTTATCAAAACTTTTACGACAATCTGTTGTTATATCCGAAACTTTTCACATACGACCTGCCATTGCCGGTAGAACCACTGCTGCGAAATGTTACACGAAAATCAAGGGAAAGCCGATTATAGCTGTATTGGATTCAGGTGCCGCTGTAAGTATTATTATTAAAAAACTTTTAGACCGTCTGAAGATATGAATTGAAGAAAAGTCTATGACTACTGTCATTACGGCCAATGGAACAAGGAAAAGGACCCTAGGAAAGATTAGGAATGCTAACATCATGGTTAAAAAGATCATCATTCCAATGACCTTCCAAGTCATCGAATCTAGAGACGAAACTCTTTTGTTGAAAACAGATTGGTTTCAGAGGGCAAGTGCAAGGATTCATTTCGATGAACAAAAACTATACCTTAAGTATCAAAGTCAATCCGCAAAAATCCTGATTTTCCACAACGACGCGACACTTTTGCAGACACCAGAAGAAACAGATGTAAGTGATGAAAATCCCAATACTTGTGATGAATTTGAATACGAAAGCGAAGAATTAGAGGAAAAAGAGGATACTATATAAAGAAATAGTCAGATGAAAAACTGTATGAGAACCCATGGGAAAATATGCAGAGTCTAGCAATATACATAATGATCCTCGAGAAGATACCTACCCATGATGAAGACCAGGGCAATCATTGAAATGACAAAAAAACCCTGAGGCAGAATATTGACATCAGATTAACTAAAGAAGAGCAAAAAGGAGCCATGATGTTCTTTGAGAAAGAAAAGGATCTTTTTGTGAAGAATATCATGGAGTTAACCCAAACCGATGTCACTCACCATGTTATCGATACAGGTAATGTGAAACTAATTAAGCAAACCCCCTATCTAATGGTACCAGACAAATATGACTATATTCAAGAAGAATTAAAGAAGATGAAGGAACAGGGCTTAATTCACGAATCCATTAGCCCTTGATCCTCTCCTATCATTATCGTGCCAAAGAAAGATGGAGTGAAATGGCTATATGTCGACTATAGAAAATTGAATACAGTAATCAAGAAAAATGCGTATCCACTACCACGAATAGACGACCTACTAGAAATATTGGGACGAGCTAGTTGGTTCTCTAATTTGGATCTCGCTAGTGGTTATTGGCAAGTATGGGTATATAAAAATAATCGTGAAAAGACCGCGTTCGTAACAAAATTTGGCACCTACAAGTTCAAGGTCATGCCGTTTGGGTTATGTAATGTGCCAGCCATTTTCCAACAGCCGATGAACACAGTTTTACATGAGTGTATAGGATGATTTGTCACTATATATCTAGACGACATTATTGTCTATTCACGTACCTATGAAGAGCACTTGAAACACTTGACACGAGTTTTTGAAGAATTAAGGAAAGCCTCATTGAAGCTAAATTTCAAGAAGTATAGTTTCTTCTTACCTAACGTGAGATTCTTAGGTTACATCGTAGAAAAGATAGTATTCAACTGAACCTAAGGAACTTAGAAAAAGTAAAGAACTACCTGATCCCCCGAAATTTAAGACAGCTGAGAGGATTTATAGGGCTTGCCTCATACTATCGAAGATTTATCAAGAATTTCTCCAATATTGTGAGACTCTTATACTGACTATTGGAAAAGAATATACCATACAAGTGGGAAAAAGACCAATGAAATTCTTTTGAAATTTTGAAGAAACATTTGATTTCGGCGCCAATCCTCAGATACTCTGACTTCGA